TGAAATTTCGTGACCTCTCAATCAGCTGCGAACGGTCGTTGCCTATTAATAATAGAATTAACTGTCCAATTAAGTGTCGACGTCATTAAATTCTGCCCAACTCGTGATCTTCGCCTTGTTCAAATTTCTTCCGGGAAAACAATGTTTCAATTTTAAGGAATGGATTGTTTTCAAATATTTTTGCCACACGGAAGGCTTGTGGACACAACTTTCCCTCACGCACGTGGTCGCAAAAGCGACGTTTAAAATATCGATTTTTATCAGCTGGTGTTGTGCAGTATTTCCACCAGCGGCCATCATAGTGGACCGGGGTGAGTTCGCTATCTGAATTTGCCTAGATAAGCGTCTGTTTTTTAGAATTTTAAGGAATGGCAAGAAATCGTTTTGTGCATTTATTTTATCCATAAAAATTTAGAAACGAAGGCGATACAGTTTAAGCAAAAGCGGCTGCAGTCAGCCGGTGTATGTCTGAAATGAATAGCAGTATTTTAGAGGTTCTTCGTGTAAAGTTAACTTTGATTCTCCTGATGCAGGCAAGGAGGTGTTGTGTAGTCGGCTTGGATTTACTATACAAGACGCGCTTCTACAGTTAATTATGCAGACTTATAAGGATGGGTTTAGTTAATATAACTGTGATTTGAATGTGAATTCACTTCTCCCCGACTCGGAAACTCCAGCCCGACGTCTTTGGCATATCTACTGATTATGCTTCCTGAAAAAACCAAGATATCTACGTCGAATTGGTCGTTTACAAACAGCTACCCAAAGGCTACAATTAAGTGTTTTCTAAAAACACAGTTTAACGATCTCCTACGGATTCTAAGAGGTTATCAAATATTTTTACTTTTGGACGCAGTGCGATTTAATTTAACAAGCCGCAGATACACGCTTGATTAACAACTACGCTCGAAATATGCCAATCTTACATAATGCTCGATTATATGTCGTCTCAATAACTGCATAAGCATCTTATCTAAACTAGCGGACTCGTGGATAAACAGTGAACCTAAATTATATTTGATGGTTAGTGGTAAGTCGAATTTTAGCATCAGGCGGGGCCAGATATCCCTATAAACGCCATTGGACCACATTTGTGGTAGTCCGTTCCCACACTTATCGCTGTTACGTCTTCTTGTATGCATCATGCTCGTGCTCGAGGCCTTCCGCTTGCGTGGTCGCTAGCTCAAAAGCTTACGCGCGCGACTGGGGCCACCCGCGCTGTGGCATCGGCCAATCAACGTTCTTCATTCACTGATTGGCTGCAGGTGACAAAAGCA